AGTCCTATGATTTTTCATACTTCATTTTCCCTACCCCCATATACAGCCAAATCAGACTATAGAACACACTTGCTTTTTCTAGATCATTGGGGCCCATTTTGTAGGCCTTATTTTCAAACATTGTGACAAAACAAGAGTCTATTATTCTCTGTGAGAAGAGGACAGACTCATAGGAAGTTACTTACATAACTAGACTAGGAGAGAATGAATATGTGTGTGTGTGTGTGTGTGTGTGTGTGTGTGTGTATATATATATATATATGAATTTGATTTATTTACATCTCACCAGACTTCAGTTATTTTATTCCATGTAGAATTTTATAAAATATCAAAAGTTTTTTCATTTCCCTGTGTCCCACCCCATCTTTTGTGAAACTCTACTTTTGTACTTGACCAGATTCCGAAATGGTGATAATTTTGAGATTAACATGTATTTTCAAGGATGTTTTGGGGTACCTTTGTTTTAGCTAAGTGTCAGGTAAATGATGGGTATTTTAGTAGCTTCCATCTGCTACTGGTAATGTCTGAGAGAACTGCAATTTGTCGAGTAACCATGGTGACCGTCTTATGGTTTCTGATTCCATTAATCTTGTGGAGATAGAACAGTAAATCCCAAAGGATTTTTTGCTGTGATTCAGAAATAAATCATATTTTCACATGTATATTATTTGTTGACAGTGACCTTCTTTAAATGTGTAAGAAGAAATTGTACTCCTTCTAATTAGTTGATTGGAAATTCATTCTTCAAATAAATTTTACAAGACACAACCAAAAAGAAAAAAAAGAAAAAGTAAATACATACAAATGCCACATGAAAGGGAGACTTATTCAACAAACATGTTCTATAGTCCTGGTAGATAAACAGAGGAAGGCTATTTACTCTCCACTAAAAATTTACTTCTGTCAGGGAAGTTGGTATCAGTCAGTGGTAGAGCAAGTGCTTGGTATGCACAAGGCCCTTCCATCCCCAGTAACCCTTTCTCCCTCCCCCCCCAAAAGGAACTCGTTATCTACAACATTAGCTTAGAGATATGAATTGAAAACAAAATTTTGAAGTTTTTTAATTTTAAAAATCCAACTGTCATTCAGATTAGATTATAAATATTTAAAAAGATGAATTGAATGGTATTTGAGAAGTAAAACAGCTGTATCCTCAAGCTGGGATTAATAATGTGTTCTACTTATAAAGAAATGTGTGCAAATTAAAAAAATAAAAGTAGTGTGTCCTGATCTAAAATCATATCTGTCCTATGAGAGGAGTAAGTAGTGTGCCAGCCTCATTTTAAAGATGAAAATAGTAGCATTTAATAGTAGCTTTCTCTAAAATTGGCTAAATAAATTGTCATGCTCCTATATTGGAAGGAATGAGAATCAGATTATTATCTATGAACATTCTGCTAATCTAAATTCATAGTACAAAATGTAGATTAAACATGCAAACCTTTGAGTCTTTCTCAACTTGTGAGTCATACATCTTCATCTGCATGTTTTCCTGGCTTAAGGGAATAACCTCAACTCCTGGATTGACCAGGTCTTCATGGTGAGAGAAATACCAAGTACATATTAGTGTTTTACAGAAGCTAAAATGCACAATTTTTCCTGTTATATTTCTGACATAAGGATGTGTTTTATCAATAATAGCTTACTGTCCTCACTATGCAGCAATACCAAACATTGCAATGTTTGGCAAGGGATGCCTGCTTATATTATTGTTACTTCAGTTGGACTATACAACGGTTGGTATATGAGCAGGAAGTTTTTAAGTATACAGAAAGGGATATGAATTTGTAATTTAAATGATGGATTACTAATAAGAATATCTGTTGTATAGTAGTGACTATACATATTTTCTTGAAACTAATAAGGTAGTACCATATGGGACTCACAAGCTGATAAAGTATATACCTTTACTATTGAAACAGGTGCTTATAGATAGATAGATAGATAAGGTGCTTATCTATCATGAACTAAGCAAAAAAAACTAAACTGAAAAGAATTAATGAATCATTCAAAATACATGAAAGAAGTTTTAAAACGTCCAAAAGCTGAAGAGACTAACAAGTATGTTGAACAGTATTATGACATAGTTTATTTTGCTCTATTGTTTCAGTCTTCATCATTATAAGATTAAGTGTTACTATATCATTTATGGCATCTGATCTTACCAGCCCTTGCAATGCCTAAACCTTCCCCTGCTGATGGAGAATAGCCTGCTGAGGTCCAGAGCAATAGAAACCAAAGCCATATTAGGAACACTTACAACCCAGATATTAGTCAATTCTGATGGCAAATGCCATCACCTCAACACAGAGGCCCCAATTTCTATTCCATTGAAAAGGAAACTAGTCTCCATTGGGTCTTCAAGCTTTCAAGATAATGATTCATTAAAATTCTATAGTAATTGTAGGAAAAGTCTATTTTATATTATTTTCTTGGCAATCTTGAAGAGACAAGTAGGTTATATCAAAATACTTGTTATGTGAGAACAAATGGGAAGGAGGATAGTTCTGATAACTTCATGGCTAAAGAAGACATCTTCTTGTTTTTATATATTTCTATATAAATTGTTATGGAACGGTGGATGTTGTGAATGGGAAAATGGAAAACCTATAGGAGTATTTTCAATACCCAATGGGACATTAAGTCCAAGGAACTTAGATACCTCTATCTCTAATGATAAAGTCAAGAATTGAATTCTATTCTATTAGCTGGGTGAAAGGTCACAGACCAGCAAGTGAGTGCTGAGTTTTGTGCCTTCTTGAACTCAAGGTCATTGCTTTCTTTGAGTTTCCAAGAGTGTAGTACAGTGTCTAGGCCAGAGGAGTACTGCATTTGTCCTAGCAAACATTTTTCCATAGGAAACTCAGGAATCCATGTCATTCACATCCTGCCCTCCAAGTCCTTCCTTTGGTAACTGTGACACTGTTCTACTTTCAGCCGTGCTACCTGGATTTGAATGCTCCATTAACAAGAAAAGGCCTACGGTCTTTTCAAGTATTGGTTTTCTCTGGCTTACGAGACCTATCGGAGCAGAAGGATAGATGTTTTTTTAATTTACATGAGGAAATTTAATCAGATTTCAGATCCTTCAGATAAAGACATTAGTATTTAAGATTTAAATTATATCCAGATATGAGATATGTTTTATTCTTAAATTCATCATTTTTCATATATTCCACCCATAAAATATAATGAGGAAAAAGTAGTTTAGAATCTGTCTCTTTTTAAATCCAGTCCATGGATTCGTGCCAAATCCCACTGTTGCTAAAGGAATATATTATTGACTATTAGAATTAGAAAGGTTTTATCTCTCACACGTTCCTTTTTTTTTTCTTCCTTTCTCTCTCATACATTTCTAATAAAACGTGCTGTGACTCCTGGATGTCGTGAGCACATCTAGTTGAAAGTTGTCCTGCTACCATTTCAAACGATTTACCTTTTATTCTGTCTTCCCATGGAGAACAGCTCAGCTCTGTTTTCTATTAAATAGTCCTGGAGGACTTGTCAATTGTTAGGAAAATCAACCCCAGGCCTTTTTTTTTGTTTTTGACACTTTACAAATCTATTCCTTCCAACTTTAATCATTTGTTTAGCTTTCCAACATCTTTCTCCTGGACACCCATTGAGCACATGTCTCTCCCTTCGCTCCTGGAACTTACTCTCAAATAACAGAAAGGAAGGATTCAAGACCACAGCTTCCTCTCTAGATGACAACACATTAGAACTTTACTTCTCACACTTCGAGTGAACAGTACTGAAGTGCTAAGGGATTTAAAACCCAGGCTAGAGAAGCATACTGCTTGGATGTGGTTCCACTTTACTAGCAGTGTGAGCTTGGACAAATTATTCTATTTCTCTGTGCCTCGTTTTCCTTAACTGTAAAATGGGAACAACTATGTCCTCCTTGAGTTATTCTAAGGATTGAATTAGTGTGACACACATAGTATGACACACATAAAGCACTTAGAACAATACCTACAAATAATAATTATTATCTCAGTTAGAAAAGCAGAAGTTGCTTATTTGTGTCATGACCCATACTGAAAGCTTATTCTAGATTGCAGGTGTCCTGTTTCTAAAATAGCTCCCCACTCTATTTTTGTATTAGTTAACTGAAAACTTTTTGTTAAAAGATATAAGGTGGGGCTGGGAAGGTGGCTCAGTGGTAGAGCGCTTGCCTTGCATGCCTGAGGCCCTGGGTTCGATTCCTCAGCACCACATAAGCAAAAAGAAAAAAGCCGGAAGTGGCACTGTGGCTCAAGTGGTAGAGCGCTAGCCTTGAGCTGAAGAGCTGAGGGACAGCGCCCAGGCCCAGAGTTCAGGCCCCCCGCCCGGCCCAAAAAAAAAAAAAAAAAAAAAGATATAAGGTATGCTAGTCTCTAAGGTTCCTTTTTTTTTTTTTAAATGTCATTACCTCAGAGTCCTAAATCCAATCATCTTATCTCTTTGTTATCGTGGAAAGAGAAAGTGACTTTTTGCTTTCACTTGCAAGTAGATCTATAAGTTAAAATCTAGAAATAGCATGACTGTCTGTAAATAGGGTAACTAACCATTTTAGTTTGCCAAGAAATGAGAGGTTTCTTAAGACATGCAATTTTTACTGCAAAACTTGGAGCACTTTTTACAAACCTGGGTGGTTAGCCAACTTAGCACTGAAGGTAAGGAAAGCAAGGACAGAACAAAGAGAAGGTAAATAGTACTAGCCTTACCAAACACAACATAATTCTTGGCACAACACTATGTTGCCTTTTTTTTCCTGGAGCTGTGGATTGAACCCAGTGCTTTGCATATGCCAACCACATGCTCTACTGAGCTATACTGCATCATGTTGTTCTGATTTTTTACTTATAATCCCTGCTGAGAACCTAAAGGGTAGAAATGTACTGAACTAATTAATTCTAAATGTCAGGCATTGGGACTTCACTTTTTGTTGTTATCATCATCCATGGGATGATGCTCTGTTTTCCTCTGATAATTTTGTGCTTGTTATTTTTCTTTAGGTCAACTCAAATCAAAACATACTCTTGGGATAATGCCCAGGTTATCCTGGTTGGGAACAAATGTGACATGGAAGATGAACGGGTCATCTCAACTGAGAGAGGCCAACATTTAGGAGAACAGCTCGGTAAGTGATTAAGAAACATGAAAGTGTTTCATGATTATCCGTAACACTAAACAGTATCCCAGCTCTGTGAGGGTGTGTGTGTGTGTGTGTGTGTGTGTGTGTGTGTGTGTGTGTGTGTGTGTATACTGAAAAACAACACCCCTCCCTAAGTGGTCAGTGCATTTCCTTTGATTTCCTGTATTAGCAGTAGAATTCAAGAACGATTACAAAAGTAAAAATTGCGCACCAAATTTTGATCCTCACACAAAATATGCAAATCCTTATTCCAGGAGAAGTTCAGGTTTGCCTTTCTCACTATTTCTTTTTTTTCTTCCATACACATTATTTTGCATTAGATGAGTACTTTATTGCATGATTATGTTGTTCTCATGTTCCAGTTGGAAAAGGTAATGGCACAGAACAGGTTACACCTTAGATTCTAGTTCCTCCAACATCATTGCTGTGCTGTATTACTACTACATAGCTTTGGAAAGTTCAATCTCTTTATTTTCTTTTAATTACCTATGCCTACTTAACCAAGTCTATATAGATAATATAAAATGGGAGAGTTTTAGAAATATCCAGGAATTTAAGGAATAAAACATTGTGTCTGAAGAGAAAAATGCTGGAGTGAGTAGGATAGAGTTTCAAATGTGAAGGAGGGATTACTGACAGGTAAATTCAAGATTTTTTTTATGAGACACCTATTATAGACCCCATTTATTGTGCCAGACATCAGGGGATCTGAAAAGTGTGATCTTTAATCTCAAGTCTACATCAATCAAATTCGGAGACAAGAAATATACACAAGAAAGCAGAAGTCATAAGACATAACAACAAACAGGTCAGTTGAAGTCTCGATGAACTAGAAGGCAGAGGCCAAGAGAGAAGGCAGACAGAAGGAGAGAAAGAATACTGCCAAGAGGGGTTCTAATATGGAAGAGAGTAGGAAGCAGATAATGAGCAAAGCACAGAAGATAGCTGCAGATGTAGAAATGCACAGTGCCCCAAGGAAGAAGTGAGGGATGAAGGAAGATGGAGATTGGATGAGGTTAAATGGAAGATGAAGCTTGAAGGCTCTCCAAAGTAAAATGTAATAACTACAAAGAGGAGAGGAAGCATTATAATAAAGGATAGAGTAGAACATAGACACAGAAAGGGCTAAGTTGATAAAACTGAGTAGAGAAGTTAGCAATATGTATAATTGTGTGAGTGAATTGATTTGGGCAATAATCATAGCACTAGAGATTAGAGAGTTAGGACTCCCTTTGGACAGTTATTTTTCATGCAGAGTGATTCTTACCAAACAAGAGTTACATTTAAATCTTTTTGGTCTGGATTTATGGATAGAGACATTCAATTTAGCAAACCAGTGCTAAATGAATGAAACAGAAGTTTCACAAAACACATTTGAACTTCACTAGAGACCAGAGTTACTCTATTCTCTTTCTCTTCTTTTCTCTCTTCTTGCAATGATTGTCTCAACTTTAAAGTTTGATCCCAGTCATGAGAGCACCAGGAAAAGGGTCATCTGGGTTCAGTGCCGTGGATTGCAGCATGGATTGGTGAAGAGAAGCATTCTCGTGTTTGTCTTATTCATCACATAACTGAACTACACGGTCCACTTAGAGAATTTCACTGCTTCTTCATGAGTTCAATGAAGGCTATCACTAACAACAAGAATGCTTCCACCAAATGTTTTGAAAGCCACCCATGAAAATGTCACATACTGATAGCTAGCCTTGTTGTTTCAGAAAGTCAGAAAACCTTGGCAGCCTCTCTATTCCCTAGAAAGATAAGACAAAGAGAAAGCATTGGCAGTGACTTCTCTCAATTATCTCTTCTCTCCCTGTACTTTCCTGCCTAGCCAGGAGAAAGAAACTACTATACGGGCTCAGGATCTATTTTTAATAAGTGTTAAACTGTATGATTCAAAGAAAAATAGACTAGAGCAGAGCAGAGAATCACTCAGTATTTTTGGTACAAAAGAACCAAATGATGGGCTTCATTTTGATTTTGTCACTCAATAAATTAGTTATGTGTTGAGAAGATCAGATTATGGAAGGGATGTTAGAATGATGGAAATTCATGCAAGAGGGACTTTATTTAGAATTCTACCAACTGGTAGATATGCATAAATGTGAGCATATTTCCAAAATTTTGAGGTAGACGTGTTTTATGTTCCTATGTAAGTTCTTCCAAAGATTTTTGGTTGATTTTTCTTTTCTGCTCTCTATTCAATAAAACCTAGCAACCAATACATGTGCCTCCTTCGGTATGGCATATTTTCCTCATGACGTCACAAATATCAAGAGAGATAATTTGTTTGAAAAACATACTTGTAGAATCTAAATGTGAATATCTGCACTTTATTTTTTTCATTACCAGTAAAATTCCACTAAAATGCTATTACATCCACACAGAGGTTAGGAATTGTTTTTCTAATAGTCATACCATATCTTGGCAGATGACTGACAAAAACCACTTTATCAGTCTGATTTCAGTTAATTCTTCACTATGGGTGATTATTTCCATACAATATTTGCTCATACTAATAAGGGTACTTGATGGAACCAAGTTGTAGCTGAACTCCTTAGATTATTATAGGAAAAGTGTCTTTACCAATCCATTTTTTTAGTTCATCAAATATTTATTGTTTATTACAATGCATGTCCTGACAAGTAATTGCAGATAATCTGCAATCTGACAGACAATTCTGCCTTCCTCAAAAACATCATATTGGCAGACTATACTATGAGCATTTTCCTGACCTTCCAATTGTTGGCCACTTTGCCATTTGGTCCATGTGAGCACCGCCCCCCCTCCCTGCTTTCTGTTAACTCTGAGACTTTCTGACCATCTTTCCAATGTCAACCCAATGTGTTTCATCTCTGATAAATTCTACTTTGTCTTTCTGTCCCTTGTATTTTGGCTTTCCATCCTTGGCCTACAACTCCTCTCTATATCTTCCATTGGATATTCCCATTCATTTGTAACAATTTAACTCTCCCTGCTGCTAATCACTGTCAAAGAACATGCTCACACTGACTTCACCATCTGCCTTCAAGATCCTATGAAATTCAGTTAAATTTTAAAGGTTGCTTCCACTAACTCCATTTTTGTATAACATAAGAAATGTTTATGCCAAAGAAAGGCAAATCTTAAAAACTGGCCAACAATGCTATCTATGGCTTCATTGTTAACCTTCCCTTAAGAAAAATATCACCACTGGTTTCATAGTTTGGTGGCTCACACAAATTATTTTTATATCAATCTCATTTCCTAGACTTTTAGCCTATCATCTGTGTGTGAGTTCTGTTCTTCAAAGGCCATTTGGCTCCCAGGAGCCCCAAAATCGGACAAGTGTGAGGAGCCATTAGTGGTGGACAAACTCCTATCTTGGCCATTTTCAAGCTGTCCTCGTAAACTCTGACATACACCATTTTCAGCCTGCCCACTGTAATAAAAGATGATTTTGATTTTTCCCTTTTCCTTTACCTTCTTTCTTTAAACCATTTTCCCCTTTCCTGAGAAAAAACAGTTCCACCATAGAGCCAGGTTGAGGAATCAATAACTCCAGTAAGGATATCATATTGCCCTAAAGCTTATTTTGAAATTCAAACCACCTGCTCCAAATTTGCACTGACTGTTTTTTTTAGCAGCTTTTGAAAGTTAGTTTAAATCTTAATTGTAGTGTTTATGAAAGAGTAGGGATTGCCAGCTTCTGGCTTCCACAGGGATTCCCAGCAGTGCTATTTAAATGTTTTAACTACCTGGCTGCACACAGCTAAGGAGAAGCACAGCCACCTACCCTACCATTATTTATCCTCACTCACATTCTTTTTGGCTGAGCATTTCCAAGAGGTATAAGATAAATCAATGTGTTCAAGTGTGGTTATAGCCATATATTAGGGAGGAAATTCCACTTCCTCCTTGTCCCCATCTTTGACTCCCAAAGTCCTGTTAATTGTTAACCTGTATGTGTTACTTTATGGATCTCAATTCATCTCCTGGCAGCAGAAAGTCATTCTTCAGAAAGGAATAAAATGACCTTATGAATAAAGTGATCATTCATCACCAGTGGCTAAGGACAGTCCCAATCAATGCTCACTCCTCAAGGGAAGCATGAATAATGTTCTAGTCTCCAAAATGACTCAGTTTGGGTGACATGGTGTGGCCATTCAGCTCATGACACCACACCCAGCCAACACACCTTTGAATGGACACCAAGTTTCTTCTTCATACCCAGAGTTCTGCCCACTATTTTACTTGTAAGTATCCCTGTAACTTACATTCTCCAGTTAAAGAATTCTCAAGACACTATCCAATTATTATCTTTCTCATTACTTACTTTAGTCACTTGATCTAGTTCATGTGATCTTTCACCTGTTTTTCATAATTATCCAGATTTCTACCAAGATTTGATCCCTGGAGTATCACCATTCCCACAAATCCAGCTTCCCTAGGAGCTACATATATGCAACATTCCTGTTAAGAGCTTCCAGACTCCTATGACCATCCTGCCCTTCCTTCATGGATCAAAGCTACCGGCCCTCTAACTGACCACAGCCTTATTTGTCCTCTGCCTGTTATAAAGTCATCCACAGTTGTTCTTCTTACTTGAATTCTCAGAATCCCACTTTTGCTCCTCGTCTCAGGCAGATTTTCTAAGATGTGCCATCCTCTCATTCACACAAACCTACAGACCCCTTTGGTAGTGAATCCTCCCCATCTTTGGTTTTATTTTTCTTCAACTCCATGTGGCTAACTTCACACTCTACTCGTGAATGGTCTCACCTTGGAAATATTATGATTTATTAGACCACAGCTAAGAGAGAAATCTTGCTGTTTATGTTGCAGATTTTGGAGACACTCTAGTTCCTCTATTGATTTTGAGAAAGGACTATTCTCACTAGCATTAAGTTGAAATATATTACCTCTGAAGATGGATAATCACATGCACCTTGTGGCATTTAGTAACTTTATTCTCTGCAAGTGACTTTTTATCCTTAATCCTAAAT